AAATAATCCAAGTGACTTTTTCTTTTACTTTTCCAGAAGCTCGGCTCCCCTCGGAGTTCACCGAGCGAGCAGCCGAGAGAGCCGAGAGAGCCCAGTGAGTGCAGAGGGCGGAGGCGCCCTGGCGAGGCCCTGGCGTGGCGGCCTGTGGCGAGGCCTACGGCACTGGCGTGAGCGGCTGGCTTACTTCCAGGGGGCGGCCTAAGCAGATCATCCAAGCTAAACGTGCGCGCTGTGGACCCAGGCTCTGCCGGGGAGGCGGCGGTCAGGCTGAGGATGGACGGCTTGCGAATACCCAGTCGGCCGAACAGGGAGCGGGGCGGCTGGGGCCCGGTGCCCTCGCGGCTGCCGCCCCCGCCCCCGCTGCCCCCGGGACCGCCCCCGACGTCTCCCCTGCCGCCACCCGTACCGGACGAGCCGCCCGCCATGGACGCGGCCAGGGAGTGCGACGCGCCCGCGCCCGCCGTCAGTTGGTCGCGGAGCGAGGAGCCCCGCGACGGGTAGATGCCACCTGCAGGCAGAGCACACCGTCAGCCACCGTCGCCATCACGGTCACCGCCCGCGCCGTGGTCGTCGACACGTACCTGACCGGTTGCGGTCCGCCTCCTCGGCCAGCAGCTTCTCCAGCTTCTCCGGGAAGTGCCTCTTGGCGCACCAGAAGAGGCCGATGACGCCGAGCACGGCGGTGACGGTGATGAGACCGAGCCAGAAGGGCTCCTGCAGCATGCGCTCCGACAGGGGCTTGAACGGCACCGACATGCGCCGCTCGCACTTGGGGCCCTCCCACCAGGCGTGGCAGCGGCAGTGGAACGAGTCACCCTTCTCGTGGCACTCGCCGCGGCCCTCGCACGGGTTGTCATTGCAGGGCTTCGCCCGGACATTGCACAGCGCGCCCTGGCAAGAGGACACACAGGGGTGTAATCGACGTTAAGAGAAACAAACAAATGGGGTGCAGGGTTGGCAAACTTTATTGAATTAAATTTTAGTATTACGCACTTTCCTGTGCAAAATATTTTATCGATTTAAACATTTAGCCTCCGTGCATAATTCATTTCGCCCTTTTCAATTTGCCCTCAATGGGTAATAAAGTGCAAAATGTTTTTAATCCTGAGCAATATTTTCAGAAAAACACATTTTTGCTCCCGTGCACCGGGTTATATTTTCGCACAGTGCGCAACATTTCGCACAATAACATCCATTTGTCGAAAAAACATGCTTTCGCGTATACTAATCTTTCTCCTTATACGCATCACAAAATAATGCGTACCTCAAAACCGATACCCTCCGAAACGCGTCGCAACTTGCCAAAATACTCGCCTTCTCTGACCTGGATCGGGAACAATTCCATCCTTTCCTCATACCACATCCGGGGCAAATCCATAGTCGAGACT